TTCAGACTAGTCAGAAGCGTGGCCTGCAGACACCCCCATCCGACGACATGACTACCACCTACCAGCCTCCCATCGTGGGCCCCTACGACAATCATGTTCTCCCCTCTTACTCCTCCACTCTCCCGCATGTGCGTGGCTCTGTGCCGTCCATGAACGAAGTTTCCCGGGCGTCACAGTATCCTAGATATGCCCCGCAGCAACAGCAAGCCCAGCTGCAACAGCAGCAGCAGCAGCAGCAGCAGCAGCAGCAACAACAACAACAACCATACGCACACGCTACAAATCTGTCCCAAAATCCTGCGTCGGGCATTTCTCAGTACTCCACCACCTCAAAACACTCCACACGAACCTCAACACCTGCTGCTGAGGGTAGCATGTCTTCACAAAACGGTAGCACCTCAAGGCGGGGCTCACAGGCCTTGATCCACCACAGCCTTCACGTGCCAAGCTGCATCAACCCCAAGGGCGGCAACCTGGCTGATTTCGCTGCGCAGGTGGGTGACCTAAAAACGACTGCGGTGTTGCGCTGGTCGACTGTGCTAATTCGAAGATAGATCACTTGCCTCTTCTGGTTCGAATCGATGGATACTCTGCGAGCTGCGGAAAATGTTGGGTCACGGCCTGCATCAGCAACAGTACCAAGGCTGACGAAGCACGCCATTCCATACCCTGCTTTCAAGAAATGGGCGTACGGCGTTCTATCGACTACTCAGGTCACGCAGAGTGTCATATTACTGGCTCTACTCTTCGTTTATAGGTTGAAGATGACTAACCCAGCGGTCAAGGGCCGCTCTGGCAGCGAATACAGGCTGCTGACGGTAGCCCTCATGTTGGGCAACAAATGTATGCATGGCCCCCCTCTGCTTTTCATACATCGACGACTAACGCGGACTAGTTCTGGACGATAACACGTACACGAACAAGACGTGGGCCGAAGTCTCGGGCATTTCCGTCCAGGAGATTCATGTCATGGAGGTAGAGTTTCTGAGTAACATGCGGTACAGCCTCCTGGCCACCAAGGACGAGTGGGAGGACTGGTTGGCCAAGCTCGCCTGTTTTTCCGAATACTACGAGCGTGCCCTCAAGCAGCCGACGTCTCCAATCGCCATGTCATCACCAACTTCCAAGGCGCTCTTCAGTTCTCCCCTACCATCACCCACCCGGGCCGCCCAGACCACGTCGACGATCCCTGCTCTCCCCGCCTCGGCTACCCCTGTCTACCATAGCAACGTCAACCCCTCCCATGGCCAAGCGTGGCCTACTAGCTATCAGAATCCCGCCCTGTCGCCGCTGCCTGCGAACACCGCCGTTAACATGATGTCTAAGAAGAGGGCACACGAGGAGGACCCGACAGAGCCGCCTGCGAAGCGCCTGAATGTGCAGTCGAATGCGATGCCCCCTGCACGACCCCCCGTCGTGGGCGAGCAACCGATACGGCTGCCAGTGCCGAATCTGTCCCTCAACACCAACACACCAACTCCAGGCTCCGTGCAATACATGACACCGACTGCCTACGCGCCTCCTTCCCACGTCTCGCTCCCACCATTAGTTCCCGGTGTACGCGCCATGTCGAGCGTCTACCCCGCAAACGGGCCTGTGCCACCAGCGCAGCTGCCACTTCCTTCGACGACCGGGTCTGTCATGCCGCAGGCTACTCTCACGCCGACGATTGGCATGCCAGTGCACCCAAGCATGAGCTATGGAACTCCGAGCCGGCGCCACAGCCCCGGCACTCTGGCGGCGTTTGGATCATCGCCTCTGGGCGACATGTACGGATCTGTCTCGGCAGTACACACGCCCATATCGCACACACCCATCTCTCACTCGCCTAGTGTCTATCTCCAACAGAGGCCCAGCCCGTATAAGCCGGTACGCCACGTCAACACACTACTGTACCCACCTCCGTCCGCCTCTCTCCACGAGTACCACATGTCAGCGGCAGCCGCGCCACAGATGCACTATCAGCCTCTCGGCCGCCGCAACGACCTGCGAACCGGCGTCGTTCCAGAGTACATGACACTGGGCTATCGCAGTGCGCAGCCTGTGCAGCAGATGATGCCGCACGGCCAACAGGGCCACCATCTCAACTAGGTCGAGGAAGTGCCACATGGCATTTTTCTTGTCCATTGCTACTTTTTGTTTCTTTTTTTTTCCCCTCCAAAACAGTTATGCATGGCTCGGCGTTTTTATTCTTTTCGTAGTCACATTGCTGAAACGGATGCTATGAGTCTCAGGCTTTGGCTTTGCATTTTGGGACAGGGCATGCAATGGCGAGACAAGATCATGAGTGGTCATTCTAGAGCTGCCACTCTCGGCGTTGGACACATTTGTATCAAGTAGGACAGAGGAAATGCAGAAGGAGGGGTCAAGAGAAGCGCCTGGGGAATGCCCACCCCGTCAAAGCGCAGGGAAACAATGTTAGATTCTTGCGCACGTCAGCGATGACAGTAGCAGCATTAGATAGCAGCACTCTGTGCCATGCAAATCAGTCAAACAAGATGATGCCCGGTGAGAACATGACGAGTACATTGTCAGTGGGGCGTAGCGAACACACGAAGCAGAGAGGGAGAAAGTCAAACCAGAAGGGCAAATCAGAAGGGCGCTTTATCTGTTGAGGTACCAGAATCGATGGCCAAGCCATGCCAAGTGAAAGCTTGATTCCCGGCACCCATCCGATCTCCCAGGATAGCCTCCTCGTGGACTGCCTTAGAGTGGGTAAGTTGGTTGCACAGCATTCTCGCAGCTCACACTGCAAAGAGCGGACGTCTTAACAGGACGAGACGAGGGGGTCAGGCTAGGTTCGGGTTCTTACAGAACGAATGAGAAATATCAGCGTGGCGTGCGCCGTGTGACGTTTGTGCGCCTTTTTGACGCCCCCCCATCTCTCTCCCCTCTTTTCCCTCTCTCGAATAAGGCGCCCGTCGACGACAGGCTTTGTATGGTTGCCTGCAAGCCGGCTATGCATCAGATCGGAGGGGGAGAGGAAGCTCTTTTGTCTGGCGCTTTATCTCTTATTTCAGGGCTGACTGTCTGCCTGACTGACGGACGGGTTTCCGGCCTGGGCTGGACTAGGCCTCCGATGTAAGCGCGGGGCTGTGCCGCTTTTGTGTTTGGTCCGCAACAGGACGACGTGCATGAGGGAGAAGAGAATCTCTCACTCTCTCTCTCTCTCTCTCTTTTCAGATCTCGTCCATGAGAGCCTATGTGAAGCCGAGGAAGGATGGGATGGATATAAGGCAGGCCGATGGGGGTTGTGATGAACATGTGCATTTTCCCCTTAGTGTGATGAGCCTCCTTGTTAGGCAGCAATTCAGTCTCAACACATTGTGCCAATGAATCTCTTTCTCTTTGGCTTACCATTTTGATGTGACAGGATCGACCACGTACGGCAAAGAGGGCACACAGCTATTCGTAGGTGTATGCCACCGATCGGGCTGGGATCGACCCGTCTCACACGAGGGCCAGCCGCAGACGAGAAGACGTGGCGGCGGGCGACGTTTCGGCCAGCTCGCCTTCTTCTTCTTTTTCTTCTTTCTTCCCCTTTCTTCCCCATCCGCTTTTGAGCTTTTAAGGTGTGCCACCGAGGCAGACAGTCCTGGGGTGAAAGCCATAGCCACGACTATCGTTTCGGGTCAGGCCTCTCTCGCCCAAGACGACACGTACTGCGCGGCGACCTCGGTTCACATTTTGAGAGCAAAGATACGGAACGCATACGGAACGAAAGAGGGGGGGGATCAGACAAGGAAGCCATGCCGCGCCGATACGATGACTCCCTCTCGCCCTCGCCTTCTCCCTCTCCCTCTCGCGCCTCCTCCCCCTCACGCCGCCACCGCCGCGCCCGCTCAACATCCTACTCGGACCGCCGGCGGCCGGTCTCCCGCTCGCCGTCGCTGGCGCGCCGGTCTCTCTCGGCCTCGCGCTCGCGATCGCCGCCGAGACGCGGCTCGCACTCGCGGTCCCGCTCGCGCTCGCGGTCCCGCTCCCACACGTCGTCCCGCACGTCGCGCGCGACCAAGGTCAAGGACAAGATGAAGGAGAAGAAGGAGATCCCCTACGGCTTCCTCGCCGGCATCGGCGTCTCGGCGCTGCTGCTGCACAAGTACTGGCCCAAGGGCTGGGTGCACGGCGAGGAGAAGTACTGGGACAACAAGGTCGGGCGGGCCGGCGGGCGCGTCGCCGAGGTCGTCGTCGAGAGGCCGCGCGGCGTGCTCAGGGAGGGCCGCGTGCCGGCGGGGCCCGTGCTCGAGGAGATGAGGGAGGGGTGGCGCGAGGAGAGGGCGAGGGAGAAGGGGCTGGAGGTGCCGGAGCGCCGGAGCCGCCGGAGCCGGAGCCTGAGCGGGAGCGGAGGAGAGGACGGAGCGCGGGCGGAGCCCTGGACCGGGACAGGAGCAGGAGCAGAGTGCGATACGGACTGGGCGTGGACGACGTGGACCATGTGTATGAGGATCCGAGACGCCCGAGGCGGTTTGCGGGCGATTATGACGACGATTGGGACCGCTTGGGACGGTATCCCGCCGAGCAGTATCCGGACGAAAGGCGCTACCCGGAAGAAAGACGGTACCCAGAAGAACGACGATACCCGGCAGAGAGGCGCTACAGTGACCACTATCGTCGATATGATGTTGAGTACGATGACCGGGCTGGCTGGAGGAGGTAAAGGAGTTGACGTTTTCACGATGTGCGTCCTTGATAACACTGGAAAAGGAACAGATACCTTGATCACCAAGTCATGAAGTTGTGAAGCCAACGAGTAGCTGTCTGTTTCTCTACCTACTAACATGTGCCACCATGGACGTGTTTCCCAGTTGTGCTGCCCGCTTGAAATGTGTCATGCCATGTCCCCCCCAAAAATGGACCAAAATGCTCCCATGTCCGTCTCTCTTACTTACCATCTTCCGAGTCAGCCGCCGCCGCCGCCGCCAGTACGAGGCCTCTAGCCTCGCCCAGCCGTCATGGCAAACATGGCCGGCGTGACTGGGTTCGCCCCACTCGAAGCTGCTCTCTAGAACTACGTGGGAGGACCTGTGTGTCCTCCTCTATACCATCTCCCTGGGCCTCTTCCACAGCAGCCTCCGCCCACCCCTTGCCGCCGGTCCGCATCACAAAATAGGGATTGAGCTTTGTTCCGAAGTAATGCTCCCGCCGCAGCATCGCCCCGCCGTCGAGAGCTGCCGTTCGTGTCTGCCTCAGCCTTTTGCCCGGCCGCACGCTTTCGCTGAGCAGGCTGCTGCGCTGTGTCCCCGCCATACGTCGGTCATGCGCCACAATGCCTCGAACAAAGGGCGCCACATCAAGCGTGATCAGCCGCATCGTGCGGTCGAACACGGACGGATCGAGGAAGCTTGCCGGCACGATGGAATGTCGTTCGGAGATGGCAATGGGGTCAAACGCCAGCGCCATGTCGTATCGAACGATGGGAATGTCCTCCTCCGTGGGTGCAGACTGGCGAAGCTTCTTGATGACATCGGACGGCGTGATGCAGCCCATCGGCGCATGGTGCGTCTCTCGGCCGTCGTCCGCAAGCTGGCGCGCACCGCAACGAAGCGAGATGGCGGCTGACGTGCAGAAGGGCGCGTGGTCCGTCACCAGCGGGCTTCCAGCGGCGCCGCCCGAGTGTGTAGTCTTCGCGAGCTTTCGCAGTGATATCGGGCTGTGTCGCGTCCAGATTTTCCTGTTGTCTGGTCAGCTGGTGTCGTATCTGAAGGATGCAATGCTCCACGTACCTGAAGACCGACCCCGAACCGACCATCGGAGCAGAGGTCGGCGGCGCTCATCATGTCGGCAAACCGTTCGTAGACGTCAAGGGCTGCGAGCCTTTCGCTGCGGCTTGCACTGCCCATGCGTCCTGCCCAGGCAGCCTGATCCCTCGTTTCGTGCCAGTTGCTGAGGTCCATGCCGAGGCTGTCCCAGCTCTGCAGGAGCAGTTCGTCCTCTTCGCGTTGCGAAGGACCTAGCGACTCGGCGCCGGCGAAGCCCATGCCCTCCAGATATGTGCCCTCACTGACAACACGCACAACATGGCCGTTCTTATCCTTGTCGCACCCCCTCGGCCACCGCGGATAGAACCATTCGAAGCCGCCCCGTCGGTCGCCAACGCCTAGCTGGCACCAGTAGTTGAGCTCCGTCAGAGAGGCCCGGATGTCGCCGCCCCTGGACTCGAGCAACGCCTGCACAGCTGGCCTGCGGAGGGCGTGACCCTCATTCGCCGCAATGAGTAGCATGACATCCAGTGCCAGTTCGGTCGGCGGAGGGCTGAGGCGGAATATGCCGTGCAGGTTCAGTGTCTGTATCGGGATCAGACTCTCGTCGTTGCAGGTCATGATGAACGGGCGCTTCGACTGCGCAATCAGCGTCGTGATGGTCGTCCAAAATTGCTTGTCCTCCTCGTACAACACGTCCGCCTCTTCGATGAGAATCAAAGATTGCTTCTGGGACTTGGGTTGCGTGGTCTTTGATTTCTCCGCCTCCTCCTGCTTGTCACCAGATGGTGCTGCATTCTGCGCAGGCACAGGCGCAGGCGCAGGCGCAGCAGGCGGCGGGGTTGTCGCGGGGGTTGGCGTGCTGGGTTTGGTAGTCTTGGGCTTGAAGAAGGACATGACGGTGCCTTGTTTTGCCGACTTGACATCCTTGGCTGTGGGATCTTCTGCGTCGCCCTGCTTGCTGTCCTGATGTCGTTGCACGAGGTGATTGCGCGTCATGTCGCCCACCTTGTCCAGCACATCTTTCCCACTGCGTCGACTGCTCGCGTTGATTTCAAACACCTCGAAACCCAGCTCCTTCGCAATGGCGTAGACGGCGGCCGTCTTGCCCGACCCATGCGGTCCGCTGATGAGTGCTGCGTTGGCCACCCTCGGCATGTCCTTGCCGCTCTTGGGCATGTTCTGCATGATGGTCTGCTTCGGCGCGAGCGGGACATTGTCATCTTCGGGCTCGGTGATCTCGTCGGGGTCGTACGAAGCGTCCTCATCGCTGGAAACCACAAATCCATCCAGCTTGCCACGCTTCCGTTTCTTCTTGGGTCCGGACACGGCCGCCTTCACAGTCGCGGGTTTCTGATCCACAGTGATGCCTGTGTCAACAGATTGCACCTTGAGCATCTCCAACCAGTCCCTGAGCCAGATGGCGTCCCGGCCGACTTGTAGCACCTCGGCTGCTGTTGCTGGGGCGTATTTTTGCACCCAGGCCAGGTCCTCGCATGCGGATCGATCGAACGCCGACAAACTGGTCGAGAGTGATTTATACAGACGTGAGACTGCGGCATGCGGTGCCTGTCTCGTCGCAGTCACAATTTCGTCGTCGCTGTCGTCGTGTAGACTGCTTCTTGACGGAAGAGGCGTCCTCAGCTCAGGTCGTATCCGTGCCTGCAGTTTGGGACCGCTTTCAAAGTGCTTCCCCGGCAGCCGCAGCTCTGGTGGCGGCCTATCGAACTCTTCTGTCTGGGCGCTCAGTGCGGCTTTGATGCCCTTGATGTCCAAGGCGGCACCCAGCTGACGCACGACGGATTCTTGCGGAGGAACATTTGTCACTCTACCCTTGGCCTTCCTCGAGGAGACACCCGGGGGCGTTGCACTGCAGTCTGAGACCAGCAATCCTCGGAAAGTCCCGTCACGTGGGCAGCGCCTTTCGCGGGCCAAGCAGGATGCGCAGCACCTGGAACTCGGAGACCCATTGATTTGACGCCAAATTGTGGCAGGTTCGTGCGCTTGATGGGGTTCCTGGGCTTCTTGGGCGAGCAAGGGGTCGAGGAGAAGATGACCTGCCGCGGCGGGGGAGGGGCGGCTGCTTTGTTGGCAGGAGGCGCGGTTGTTTTGACAGGCTGTCCCGTCTGCGGATCCATCTTGGTCTGTCTGGCCTTTTCTGCCGCAGGCTTGGTGGATTTTCCGCGCCCCTTCTTGGGCGGTGTTTTCGTGTCTGGTATCGCCGTGGGCGGTGTTCGGAGGATCTCTTCAATCCTGCTGCCGATCCGCTGGCGGCTTTCGGGGTCTTGGCCAAAGGGTATCGCCACAATGAAGGATGCCTGCTTGCCTTTTGCGGATTTAGACCTGCCTCCAGTCGGGGTCGTCGTTTTTGGCTTTGGTGGCGACCCGATGGTGCCTGTCTTGGGGTTGAACTTCAGGACGCGCTTGGGCTTTGCCTCGTCTTGCAGAGGCTGCGATTGTTCGGCACTGGCTGCACTGGTGTTCGGTACAGCGACGTTGGCGAGCGGGCGTTCGCTTGCGGCCTGGGGGGTTGCCGGGCCCGTCGAAATGGACGGGGTGTCGGGTTCGTTCGTCCCGAGAGGACTGGGCTTCGAGAGCGCCTCGATGATGGAAGGTCCGCTGGTCACTTGTTTCCGTGGGTTGCGGCGCTTTTTGGTGGTTGGCGTATTGGTCTCTTGGAGAGCGTCGGGATCGATCTTTCGTCGTTTCGGCGTCGGCCCATCATGGTCAGCCCCGGGCAAGGCGCCGACCTCTGCTGCTGGGTGTTCGCTGTTCGAGGCATCCGAGGAGGGAGTGGGTCTGTCGGACCCGGGGGTGAAAAATGGATGAAGCTTCTTGGGGTCGGCGAAGGCTTCGGGGGCCATGTTGGCCACGAGGGTTCCCATGGGCGTCAATCTGTACATGGTCATGACCATCAGTGCCGCTCTTCCTGTATGTATGCACTCGGCCGGGACGCGTACACGAGTCGATGCTAGTACTGCCGGAGCAGTGCTGGAGGTTCGAGCAATGCTGGCATTGGTGAGGTCTTCGAGGAACGAAGGAAGGAACAAACAGCTGGGTGTCGGGAGGATGGTCTAGGGTCTCCGCTGTACGGGCACACGGGTACGGGATGAAGTATGGCCAAGTTGGGGGGCACGCTTGACGGTGGTGGTTGACGTGGTGGAGGTGGTCATGTCGATTCGAAGTCCCTGGTCGAGAGAGAGAGTGTTGGCAGGGGACGAAGTCGCGTCGAGCGCGACGTCGTCCATGGGGGTGGAGCGCGTCTGCCCCAGTGCACTTTACCAGGTCTTATCGTTATCGGTGGCACGGTCTGTTGATCTGTGACGCTCCCAACCCCTCCATTCCGGTGTAAGCAGGCTCTCACCAACAGTAGCCAACAGTGCATTCTTCTTCCGACGATGAGAGTAGCCCATTTGTGAATGCAGCTTTTCGTTCGACATGGTTGCATGGGCCGACTTCATGCTCCAACGTAGAGACAGGGCGCTGTTGCTCCTGGAGAGCTGACACGCTACTTGGCTACTTCTGGCTCATAGGCATCATGGAAAGGTGTGGCACAGTGCCCCTTCGATGACTGTCCATTGTTCACAGAAGCCGCTGCCCATGCAAGGTATTGAATAGATGCATGGAAGAAATGCAGCTGGCGCCTACAGCACAATGAGGTATCTCAGATGCCTTACCCTACCTGACCACCTGGGGAGCGAGGTGCCCTACCTTGCCTACGTTACGACCTAGGTACCCTACGACTTAGGTACAGTGGGGCGATAAAAGTAACGAACGGATTTTATAATTCCACTCCTATATACTCACCGCTACTCACTACCACTATATTCAATGCCTCGTTAACGCCTTAATTTAAGGGCTGGAAGCCTAAAAAAACATTAGTCGCCTTATAAAAGAACGCGCTTTATAATAATATATCGTAATAGCCTATCTTCTACCGAGGTGGGCGAGGAAGAGGGCGTAAGCGGTAATATCGTGAGAGGAGTAAACCACCGATATCCCTCTTAAAATAGCGCCTATTCTAACCTACGCTCTAGGCGTCTACCTAAGCTCTCTAAACGAGATAAAAGGTTAATATTACGTATAATAGAGGTAAACCCTTTTATTTTAAACCCGGAATTAGTTTAATTAGTAGAGGGGCGGGTATCGTAGCGCACTATTAAGCGATAGCTTAAGCGTATTAGCATTATATATCGTAAAGCCTTATAACGATTAAAACTCACTAAAGAATTAGCTATATAGCGTCTATAACTTTATTTAGAATATATTAAATAGCTAGCTTTATAGTATAGGCGTTTATAGTTCTCTAATAAGTATTCTATCGAGCGTAGAGCTAGTAAAAGAGCGAAGTAGGCATTTATTCTATATAGTTAGTTTATAAGTCCTTATAATTTTACTAATTCTAACCTAAAATAGGCGGTAATAGGCTTTATTCGAAGTACGTTAACGAGCGCTAGAAGCTAATATAGTACTTAAAGATATTCTAGGCTTATTTTAGCTAGGGAATCCGTTCTAACTTTATACCTCTTTATAGCGACCCCGAAGCTCGTCGAGGAGGCGTTACGAGCTATATCTATCTCGACTTATTATAAGAATATCTCCTAACCGTTATAGATTACAACTCTATCTTTATATAAGATAACTCTTCTATCTATATAGTAGGAATTATACGAGAATAGCTTTAAGGAGAAGGGTATTAGGTCCTAGAGTAGCCTCTATATAGCCCTAACCTTAACCCTATAGAAAACCTATAGTCTCTACTTAAGGAAGGGATCCTAAAGAAAGATCTATTATTAGAGACTACTAGTTTAAATATAGAGTTAATAGAGCGCCTTATACGCGCTATAGTAGAGGTATAGCTCGATTTTAACGATAAGCTATTAAATAGGCTAATTACGACGACGCGTAACCGTTTCCAGGCCTACATCGACGTATAGGGGTAGTATACGAAATATTAATATATCTATATATTCCTTAATAAATTCTCTTTCATTTAATCTATATATCTATATAATTAACCTATATTTACGATTATTATAGAAGGTCAAAGTTAGATAGTGACATTTTAGCTATATTGCAAAATCACCTAAAGTGGGTCCTGTTCGTTACTTTTGTCGCATGACTATACCCTACCACAAGGGAGCTAGGCACCTACCACAAGGGAGCTAGGTACCCTACGACCTAGGGAGCCAGGCACCCTACCACAAGGGAGCCAGGCCCTACCACAAGGGAGCTAGAGCGTCGCCTTATCGCTCGATCCACCTCTTATCGCACGCCGAGCCCCACTCAGGCGCCCCCCGAACTTTTTTTTCATCGACTTCACCGCAGGCACGACCCATCACCAACTTGCTTGTCGCCGGCGAGCAGCACGATTCGATTCGATCGAGGCGAGACACACATCCAACAAACCCCCCTCACCGTTGCCATCCACGAGACGGCCGAATTTGCAGTCTGTTCTGCCGAATTTGCAGTCTGTTCTGCCGAACTTGCAGTCTGTTCTGCCGAACTTGCAGTCTGTTCCCTTCCACAACAACAAGATGGCGCCCGCGTTCCGCATCCACAAGCCCGATGTCCTGGCGACCCTTCCGAGGCCTCTCGATTATTCCACGGGTCAATATCATGCTGGCGAGGTCTTCACGCAGCAGCCCGGCTCCAAGAAGCGCAAGAGACTCGAAGTCGCCGTCGGTGTCGATGGCGAGGCCGCCAACATTTACCACGTAGGTCCATTGCGCCATGCGTCTTCGTTTCGCCATGCGTCTTCGTTTCGCCAGGCTGACCCGTCTCTCTAGATCCCCTCGTCCGACCTGAGGACGTCGTACCCCATCCCCCCCCAAGAGTCCTTTACCTGCGCCCCTTACTCGATCCGCTACCAGAGGCCGAATGCCCACGACCGCGACCAATACACATACTTCGCCACCAAGGATGGCTCTGCCGGCCGGCTTCAAGATCACCGTCTGCAAGGACGTCGTCAGCCCATCCGGCAAGACGACATCGACGACCAAGTCGCAACGACTCCAGCACAAGGCCCCCGTTGCCCGCATCTACACCTCCTACCACGCCACCGTGACACCCGACGCCGACGCCAGGGGGAACGCGTACAGCGACGTTCTCGCTGTCTGCAACGACGGCCAGATTGTCTGCCTCGACGGGGCCGCGCTCGACGAGAGGTGGAGCATGTCCGCGTACAGCCTCTGCAAAGACCTGCTGCCGCCGGCGACCTCGGGCCTCGAGGTCGACTCTGTCTTCCACGGCCCCGCTTCTGACTTCCTGAAGGGTGTGTTCGGCGGTCGGCAAGATGCGCTTGGCGCCTTCGGTCGCACCATTGACGCAGAGACGTTCAACCCGGATGTGCTCGTCCTCGTTGCCACCACGCGCGGCAACGACGAGACGGGCCGCTACCTCATCGTCCTTGGCGCTGTCGCGCGCCACAACACCAACGCCGCCCAGCAGGCTCTCGTCCAGCTCCACGTCGCCCCGCTGCCCCGGCACGAAGGCCTGGCAGCCGTCAAGACACCGACCTACCAACTCCACGTCCGCACCGGACGTCTCATCGAGCTCTGTGACAACATCATGCGGACCTACGATCTCACGACGGCGGTACCTAGGCTGCGTGATGCCGTCATTATGCCTGACGCGTCCTCCTCCTTCGTACAGCTGTCCGAACACTCGGTGCTGTCGCTGTCGCCCATGGCGCTCACCATGACGAACATCACCTACCGCTCCGTCCAGGCGCAGTCCGCCGTGACCATGGAGGCGGGTGCGCAAGGGGGCGGCCATCCGCCTATGCTCCTCACATATCTCGCCAAGCTGGATCTGGCCATCGCCATCGTCAACAACACCATCTACTCGATCCAGATTGAACGGCACAAGGCGTCGTCCAAGGAGGGCCTCCTCATTGACGCCATCGGCCGAGGCCTGTCCAAGGCCGATCACCTCCCCGCCGACCTCCCGCAGCGCCGCGGCAAGGCTGCTTTCTCGAAATACCTGCCGGGCACGCTGACGGACGCCTACGTGAAACAGTCACTGGTCGAAGTGGAGGAGATGGACGAGGCACTGGGTCAGAACGATCTCAAGGAGTTTGAGCGCCTGCTGGCGGCCAAGTTTGGCGTCACCATGGACGAGTCTGCACAGGCCCACGACGACGACACGACGACGCCCGACTGGCAGTGGCTCGAACGGCCCTCGGCATACGCAGCCGTCGACCGCCGCTGGGTCCTCTACGCCATCAGCCGCGTCTTCTCGGTCGACGTCAAGGACGTCAACAACGACTGCCCGGCCCTCCACTGCGTCCTCCCCGAAAGCAACGCACTGCTCTACCTCGTTGTTGCCGGCCACCTGACGCTGTCGAACATCCTGGCCGCCTTCCGGAGCGAGCTCAACGAGGCCGACGTGTCGCTGTTCGCGCTGGCCGACGTGCTCGTGCAGCAGCTCGTCGGTGTCGACCCGGCGCTGGAGCTCCTCATGAGCTACCTGTCGGCGACGAAGCTCGGCGAGGTGGAGCTGCTGCTGATCGTGCGCACCATCATGCAGAGCCTCGACCAGCAGCCGCGGCTGGCGCTGCCGAGGCCCAACGGCACGCAGGAGGACGACGAGTTTGTGACCATGGAGATTGACCAGCTCGAGCGCGAGCTGGAGCTCGCCGAGTACAACCTGGGCGACGAGTCGAACGTCCGCGCGCGGCTGCTGACGGCGGCGTTCGAGAGGCTGGCGGGCTATTCCTCCGTCTCCACCGTGCGCGCGCTGCGCATCGCCTTCCACCCGACCGAGATCCTCGCGCTGATCCACCTGCTGCGCATCCAGCTCGTCGGCAGCGCCTGGACGACGCGCTACACCGAGATGACGACCTTGGACCAGGACGAGGCGGCGCGGACGGCGTCGGACGGCGTCATCACCCTCATCGCCGAGCTGCTGGCGCGCTGCATCGACGCCGTCGGCACCCACGGCTGGCTGACCAGCGTGTCCGTGGGCCACCAGGCGGAGGGCGGCGGCCACTTCCTGACGGCCCTCAAGCTCGAGGTCAGCGCGGCCCTCGAGGGCCTCAACGAGGCGGTCGAGATGAACGGCCTCCTGGGCGAGGCGGTGCGCTTCGGCACCGCGTCTCTGGCCGGCCGGTCCGCGCGGGGGGGCGACAGGGCGAGGGCCGTCGAGGTCGTGGCGTCGGCCGAGCTGCCGCTTGGCCTCACGCCGAAGCAGGGCGTCACCCAGTTCAAGGTCGTGTCTGGCGGCGAGGTGGTGGAGAGGTCTGCGCGTGAGAAGGGTCACCTGCTGAGTCAACGTGTCAAGGAATACTCGCTGGAGAAGATTTCTATTTGAGAACAGCAGACTAGCTGAGAACAGCAGACTAGCCGAGGAGGAAAAGGGAGGGGGGGGGGGTACAGGAAGGAGGAGCGAGGGCGCAGACGGATAGAGCCGCATGTCTCGCATCGCCGCCGGGATCCAGGCGCGGGCCAAGTGGCTGCGAGGGAGGAAGGCAGAGTGCCGCAACAGCAGCCAAGCGTTCGCGGAACCTGGCCGGCCACCCGGAGGACCAAACATGCATGCACAGATGACCCGGGCCCTGACTCGACAGAGTGCAGGCTTTGGACGTTTCCAAGATGCCTGCCTCTCGAACCCACGCAGCCCACAGGCGGAGAAGCAGAGAGAGCAAAGCCAGAGACGACCGAATCGAGCCAGGCTCGGTAACACGCTGGGCGGCCTCTGGCCGAGAAAGCCTGATCTCCATTGTCCATTGTCAATAATACCAAATGTTACCCACGGCGCGGATCCCTTTTGAGCACCCGGCTGACACCACTACCATGCCTCGCATACTGCGCCAGTTGACAGCCGGCCGCACGGCTCTGTGGCCTTCCAGCCTCAGCCATGCAGTCGAGGGGCGATGAGGGGTAGAGAACTGACTCTGCGCACCAGGCGCGATCAAAGTTTCGCTGGCTCTGGTGGGCTTCCTGACCGGGTGTCGTTGTCAGGCTGTCTGCTGTACCCGCTGACGCACACACACACACACACACACGCACACCATCTCTCGTGAGAGCCTCATGCTGCACAGTCCTACGCCCACTTGCGTCGGTAGTTTGCAAAACCTCGCCCAATCCGGCGACCGAGCAACTGTCACGCAGCCAAGCATCGTAGAGATAAACTTGTTGCCTGGAAGACGGGCGAAAGACATCACACACACACACACACACACACACACACCACGGGCTGCGGGTGCCAATCTTACTGAAAAAGGTGGCATGCTGCGACGAAGGGCTCGGAAGGAGGAGGAGGGAATGGGATTCCGTGAGGAAATACGTCTCGCCAGAGAGAGGAGGGCATGGCCCGTCGAGCGAGGCAGAGCTCTAGAGGGAGGGCCAATAAAGGCGGGACAGCAGACAGAGAGCTTGTTTCGACCTGCAGGAGGCCACACCCACTCGCTGGTCGCCGGCCGGTGGCATCGCGATGTTATATGCAAGCTCCCAAGCGCGTGTGGCCGGCCTACATGTTTGGCAGTTGCAGCGGCAGCCGGGGAGGGGTTGCAGCACAGCAGAGAGAGAGAGAGGGAGAGAGAGAGCCCCGACGAGGCGGCCTGACGAGAACGGAGCCAGTCAAAGTGGAACGTGGATTGCGACGGACGCGCCCGCTAACGAACCCCCTTGGGTGTCTTGACGGAAAGTCTACCATCAGCCCTGTGGCCGATTCTGGGCGTAGACGGGCGAGGATGTCACCACTACGTACAATGTACCACATCGACAGCACAGGCACAAGCACAGGCACAAGCACGAACGCAAGCACGAACGCAAGCACGACGGCGCCTGGAATGGCCCGAGTGACCGACCCTTCTGGTTGCCTCTCTCTGTACCTGCTTGACGGGTCGGGTTGCCTTGTTTCTGCACGACCCTGCGAGTTGACTCGTCGGATTCGTCCCTTTCGTTTCGTATCTGAATCCTGTCTACCAGTGCCATGAGAAAAGAAGCAGCTCAACATGACGCTTGTCTCGTCGTTGACCCCCGCTGGACCCAAAGAAAAAAAAAAACCACGGAAAACCTCGTGTTCCATGACTTCTTCCATCGGTGTTCCCTCACTGGGAGGACGGTCGGGCGCCCCATCAACCATCGAAGCGTATCGGCAGCTTGCGACAAGACTGCAGGTCTCGGGGTCTCCCGACGGGCCACCATGTGGGCTGCTAGGCAGTAGTCGATTGCTTCTGCACAGCGCGCTGCGCCTCGGCGCGACAAGGCCTAGCTCGAGAGCAGAGCGAGCGCTGCGCCAGGCAGACGGGGACGAGAGAGAGAGAGAGAGAGGGGGGCTCTCGCCAAGGTTCATTTTGCACTTCCCCACCCCGTGATGGTGGTGCTCGCTTGCAGGTTCGTCCGGCTGTAGACGGTAAGGGTGACGATCCGACGACGACGAGAGCCCTTGGCTTTTGAGCGACATAGCAGGGGCCCCAAAGGCCAAAGGGTGGACACGATCAGAGCGACCGATTGAATGCTGGGTCCTGGGTCCAGGAAAACTTGGACGGCTTGGACGGTAGCCTCGGGGGAAACCTCCCTATCCCTTGGCCACTGTGGCCAACCGTGAATGACTCCATCTCTCTCTTCGTTTCGGTTCACTCCAACCCCTCTCACGCCAATGGAAGGCCGCTGGAACGGTCATTCTTCCCCCGGTGGCGCAGCGATGGAAACAAGCAAGACAGGGGTCCTCCCAGCGACTGGTCTGCGGGAACGAAGAGAGAGAGACAAGCGACCAGCGACAGGGGGGGCTTGGCCCAGCCTGGGGCCCCAGCACGGCGCGGAATGGGAGCGTAGCACCGGGGGATCGGCCAATGGATGCGCGGGTATGATGCTATCATCCTGGCCTGCAGACGTCACTACTGCGAACTGCAAACTCCAGCCCTGTGCCGTGGGCCCCGCGGCGATGGGGGTTCTCGACTGGGCAGGGTAACATGGTGGGATGCCATGCTTTTGGGGGGGGGGAGTCTCAGGGAACGGAGGGCCTCCTGCACTGCGGCTGTCAGAGTTCAAGGTGACTGCGCGCTGCATGGAGGCCAGACGACGGAGAAAGACTTGAGCATCTCTTCACGATCAGTGGCCAGAGGTAGGACAGGGCGCGCGAACGGCGGCGGGGTGAACGGATTGGGCAGAGCTGAGATGATACAGAGACCTGCAGGACAGCAACGTACAGTCCCTTGTGGATGAAGCGGCAGTCCGAGACCGAACAGCTCACTGGGCCCACGAGTCGAGATCCAGGGTCGACTCACGAGTACAGTACCCCGTACCTCGTAACGGCGGCAGCCTGCGCGATCGCTCGTAAGCAGGTCAGCTTGAGCACGTCGAGCACCAGTTGATGAGGAGGGATGGTGGGACCCTGAGACGGATTCTCTGGTGTGGCCGTGTGTCTTTTCTCGCTCTTCTCTTTCTCTCCCCCTCATTATGAACTCCTGATCCTCCTGTGTCTTTGGGGTTTTCTCGCCCAGACATCATCATCATCATCATCGACATAGGTCCCGCGAGCGATCTTCTCCTCTTCCATCAGGCACAAGAGGAACCCAGGATTCTTGGCCCCCCCTCCCTTCTCCTCGACCCCCTTGTTCTCGACCTTCCTCTCTCCTCATCCTCCTCGTGGCCACCCCCTTGTCAGGACGACCCTTGAAGCGGCCCTGGCCCCCAGTCCCTGTCTAATAATAAGGATACACCTCTGATGCAATCTGGTTCCTGACGCGGATTCGCGCCGTTTCCCTGTTCTTGCCCATCGCCCTACAGCTCCTCGGTGTCCCCCCCCCCCGCTGACTGCACTGCTTATTGCTGCATTCTGCGATCAGACGAAACCTTACAGTCTTGGTTCAGGAGAGCTGCGAATCCTGTCGACAGCTTGTACACCACGAAACACTTGACACTGCAACACAATACAACACGGCAACACTATACACAGCAGAAGGGAACAGACCAACGGACAACGCAACGTGGAGAAAAGCACGGCCTACCCCGGCATGAGTGACGGCATCTCGGTGGCCCAGCTCGAGGGCGTCGACGGCTTCGCGCGCACGCTGTACCGCCGCGCCAAGTCGTCCGGCGCCGACTTTGACGATGTCGCCGCCGCCATCCGCCGCCTGCACACGGTGCTCAAGCACCTCCTCGCCGAGGCCGAAGACGCCGACTCGCTGCTCAACTCGGACCGCGCCGCCGTTTACGCGCGCCAGCTGACGCCCGTCGTCGAGGACTGCGACTTTACGCTGAAGCAGTTTGACACGATCCTCGGCCGCCACGCCGAGGGCGACGCCTCGTCGCCCGAGGCCCGCGAGCGCGAGCGCGGCATGGTCAAAGATGCTGCGGGCCCGGCTCGAGGACCGCAAGCTGCACATTGACATGTTTCTCGACACGGTGCAGCTGCACAACCCCAGCAAGACGCAGAGCGTTTCGGTTCGCGGTGGTGAGAGCGGCGGCCAGGCGAACGGCCAGGCGAACGTCCAGCAGCTTGACGCCATCAAGGACAAGGTCGACGCCATTGCGGCGCGCATCTGCCGCCAGCGACAGGGTGGCGGTGGTGGTGGTTTTGGCGACGATGGCTTCGGCGATGACGACAATCACAACCATGAGGAGGAGACATGGCAGCAGTTCCGTACGGAGCTCGAAAAGGAAGGATTCTCCAAGGATGTCCTGCGACAGAATAAGGTGAGGGAGCAGCCCCCTTCCCCTCCCCCCCCCAAGCTCAAGCCCCATTCCTTCTCATGTGCTCGGGGGCGGGAGATTGCTATTTCGTTGCATGCTGACACGAAGGATCACAGGACGTCCTCCGTGCCTACATACGCGAACTCGAGACGATACAAAACGAGACGGGCCCGCCACCGTCTGTCCGGGGCCTGCTCGAACAAGAACAGAAGAGAGAGCGACGCTATCCTCAGCCCAACCTCTCTGTCGTGCCGGCTTCCTACCCAGACCGCCAGGACCTTAGCCCCAAGGAGTTGATGCACCCGACCTTTGACAACGAAAAGTACGCCCCCTCAATGAAGATGGCGCGTCGCACGCCCGAGATGCAGCCGCCGAACCTCGCCGCCCAACACAGTCAGCTGAGCCAACTATCGTACGACAAGCACTCGTCTGATGACGACTATGACGGACGTGATGTGAGCTCGCTGGCTCTCATCTCGACCAGGGACCTCATGATCATGGATACGACCAGCAACAACAACAACAATGGCGGCGCCGGATTCAACGCCCAGATGGCCGCCTTGTCTTTTCACCCACACGCCAACCCGGCCAACTACAGCGTCTCGCCGTCGGCCTCGGCGCGCTACCTTCCGCCCGCCGTCGCCGCCGAGCTCTCCTCCTCGCCGAGCAACCACCTGTCGGTATCGCCGCGCTTCGTGCCACCTCTGCCCACCTACTCGGCAGCCCCCGGCTCGTCGCCGCCGCCGCCCTACGGCTCGTCGCCACGGTCCCAGCAACAGCAGCAAGCCTACCACGCGCACCAGCAGCAGCCGCAGCCGCAGCCGTCTCGTCTGGCCCCTGACCGCTACGGCATGGATATCCCCCTCGACGCAAAGTGGACGCGCATCAGGCGGTCGCTCGTGTCGCCCGAGGTCCTCGAGCACGCCGGCGTCCGCTACGAGGCGCGCCCCGACTTTGTCGCCGTCCTCGGCGAGCTGTCGCGCGAGGACATTGCCCACTACGCCAACCTCTCAGCCGTCGCCCGCGCCCGCCGCAGCAACGCCCACGCCGGCAAGAAGCCGCCGGTGATAGCCCATTTGCGTCCCGCCGGGACAAGCGCCGCGCCGCGCGACATGTCGGCCTCGCGCCGCGCAGCCCGCCCGACGACGACCGCTACCACCACGGCAAGCAGCAGCGGGCCGCGGCACTCGTCCGACTCGGACTCGGTCCTCTGGGACGAGTCGGACACGACGGACGACGAGACGAGCAGGCGACGGCACGGCGGGGGCTCCGACGAGAAGAAGCGGCGGCCCTACTTCGTCGTGCCGGCGCCGAGCAGCGCGCGCGACCGCACGAGCCCGGCGTCGACGGTCCAGCCGAAGCCGATCCTCAAGAACCGCAACGAGAACCACGTGCGCTTCGACCCGGAGCCGCACGAGGTGACGGCCGACGAGATGGACAAGTCGGCGCGGTCGGCGCGCGAGGGCGAGAGGCGGCGCCGCAGCCGGCGCGACCGTGAGAGGGAGTACCACCACGAGTCGTCCTCGAACAACCGCGACCGCGACCGCGACCGAGACAGGGACCGAGACAGGGACCGTGACCGTGACCGTGATCGCGACCGCGACAGGGAGTACAGCGCCTCGCGCAGGCACCGGGAGCGTGACGCGCGCGGGGAGACCAGGGACCCGCGCGACAGGAAGGACAAGAAGAAGCTCGGGACACTCGGCGCCATGGGCATCGGTGGTGCGGCGGGCAGTTTGCTGAGCGTTCTCACCGAGGCGGCCAACGGCGCGGGTTTCTGAGGTCTCGTCTTCGCTACTGTTTTGTCGTTTCTTTTGTTGTACATGGGGAGGGAAGCCTGTATAAGAGCAGCGAATCGATGTACGTTATGAATCTGTACGAAGCATGTTTGTTTCTTGAGAGAGAGAGAGAGAGAGAGAGTGTGTGTGTGTGTGTGTGAGAGAGAGAGAGAGGGCTGTGCCCGTGCTATGAGAGGGAAAGGTTTCGTGCCTTTGTGCGCTTCGTTTCGTTAACCCTTCCTATGTACGCCTGCATGTTTTCTATTCCCCAGCAAGCAAAGATACCAGTTCGTTTTCCTTCGTGATAGTAGACACACACGCAATGCTTTCCAACAAGAAATCTTCGTGACAGACGCCCGTGCCTCATCGCCTGCCATGCAACCGCTGCCCTGTGCCGTCCCTGTGTATATCCTACGCCTGTACGCCTGCAAGCCCTTGGGCGTCACCGTGACCTGCCTCACAGCGCCTTCTTCCTGACAACCTTCTTCACAACGCCCGCCTCCTGACAGCCTTCTTCCCGACAGGCTGCCCCTCCTCGCCGAGCATCCTCCGCATGAGCTCGGCCTTGCACTGCGCCGCCTCGGGATCGTCATACCGAACCTGTGTCGCCGGCGGCGGGTGGCGCCGCGTCCTCGTGCGCCTGCTGACGACCGCCCGGCCGCCCCGACTCGTGTGCTCGTGTGAAGCGCTCGACGCCGCCGAGACGTTGCTCGTCGCGCGGCCAAAGATGCCGCGCTGCGCCGAGCTGGCGGCTTGTCGTCGCTGCCTTCAGGGCCCGTCGGCTCCTCGGACGCGTGCGAGCGCGTGTTCATGAGGGAGGCGATGTGTGACGAGATGGCGGCGCGCTCAGCCGCTGTCTCGGCTTCGCGGACGCGTTTTTGGGCGACGAGATCCGTCGTCACCGAGGTATCGTGGGCATCTGCGTCCTGCTTTCCCTCTTGCTCTTCCTCGGCCTCGGCCTGGACAGCGACCGTCTCTGGCAACACGGGCTGTGCCGTGGGCGCGGGGTCATTCTCATCTGGAGGTGGCAGGTCGACCAATTTGGAGAAACCGTCACCCGTCGTGTTTGCTGTCTTGGCTGGAGGTGGTGCCGTTTTGGGTGGCGAAGGACTCCTGTTGAGGGCATTGCTCGAGACGTCTGCCAACGGCGCCGGCACAGCCCCTGAGCCGAAGCTGTCCTTCTGGTGCGTCCTCGCCGTCTGGAAATGTGTCGATCCCTCCGTTCCTCTGGTCGTGCCTGCGCCCCTGGCCGAGGGCTCCTGGGCAAAGGCGTCGCCGTCGACGAGGGCGCCTCGCGAGGGCTGTCGTGTTGACGAGTCGGAGGACCTAGGACGAGCTGGCGCTGATGTCCTCCTCTGCAGACCGGCCCTCTTGTCGTCCTTGATTGTCCTGACCTTGGGCGTCAGGGCCTCGCTCTGTCCGAGGCCGGTGCACAAAAAGTCCTTGACGGGCACGTTGAAGCCAGACTCGACACAGGCCCACAGCCAGTCGGCACTGACGACGGGGATCATGCTGTCCCTGGCGAACCTCAGCTTTTCCGGCCGTGTCTCCCTGACTGACCGACACACCAGCACCGACGTTGCCTCGTTGAGGCGCGAGGCGTACTTGGCGCCCAGCTGAGTCGTGCACTTCTCCACGTGCAGTAGATCAATGCCGGTGAATCCAGCTGTGCAAATCGCGAGATCTTCGAATCCGTCAATGGGAAACCTGGCAAACGGGCGGCCGAGGACGTGGTCGCTCGGTTGGCAGAGCGTCTTATTGTGCAGACACCGTTCGACAAAAAACTCGGTAACAATGTCAATGGACGCATCAGGGGGCAACTGCGGGTGCGTCTCTGGCTGCGAAGACTGCGGGACGACGAGGAACCGCTGAAAGGCACTCGGCCCGCGGGCATCGAGGAGCTGCTGGAGTGTGTCGCAGGTAGTGCCTCCGAGTGACGCGATCGTCTCGCTCAGGACCTTGGCCTTCCACGACTCGAACCCATCCACCAGGGCGGTGCATCCCGTAAAGATGCCCGGCGGCGCTTGTGGTTTTCTCGCCGCGAGATCGGCCATCGAGTCAGCCACCTCGATGCGATCGGTGGCGTCCCTGCCGGCGTCCGTGTTGGGCTCGAGGGACGTCTTGCTGCCGAGGATGTCGCCCCAGAGGTTCTCGCGCTGGCTGCCCAGCTTCATGCTGGCCGTCTTGCGCAGCTTGCGCGACCCCGGTTCCGCCGTCGACCTGGCCCTCTTGAGAGCCGACGGCCTCTGGGCATTCCGGTTCCAGGCGCCGCGCCCTTGGTCCTCTGGCGGCAGGACGGGGTCGAAGTACTGCTCGTCGAGGATCATGCCGCGCTCGACGCTCTGGTCCAGCCACGCCAGGGAGACGGTGCGTATGTTCCAGTTCCGCGCGGCCCTGTATTTCTTGCCGTCTGGCTTGCAGACGATGAGGTGCGTCACTCGTTTCGTGAGGTCCCCCGTGTAGACGCCGCCGTTGTCGTTGATTTTTTCAATAATGGCATGTCGCTCGTCGGCTGTTCGACGTCAGCAACAGGAGCGTTCGTACGCGCGTGACCGACAGATGGTGGCGGGGAGGCGACTCACGATCTTCAAACCCCGTCATGCAGCACAGCAGCTTGACACGGTCCTCCTCGCCGGGCTCGGGCCCGCTCGTCTCGAGGGGCTTCAGCTGCCACTGGGTCTCCAGAGCGGCAAAGTCGATCTCGGCGGCGTTCTTCCAGAGGTCGGCGACGGCGTCGATCCAGCGGGCGTCCATGGCCTTGATGTCGGGCCTCTCCTTGGCGACGTGGCGGTACTTGGGCGTGTCATACTGGCCGACGATGAGGTGGGTCACGTCGGGGGTGAGGTCGTACTTGTGGTGGCCGCCGAGGTCCTGCGCCTTCTTCTCGATCTCGGTCTTTGGGGGGGGTTATCGCGTCAGTCTTGCTTCCTAGATTCACGTTGTGGTGGGTAGGCGTACTCGCTGGTCTGGGGGGATGCTGGTGCAGCAGACGACGACGCGCTGAAAGGGCTTTTCGTGGTCGACGGCGGCATTCTCGTCGGGTTGACTGCGTGGCGAGGCCATGATGCAGCGCCCGTGGGAGGAGGTGAAGGTGGAGGAAGCGTGCAGGCAGACACAAGCAAAAACACCTGAGAGGCAACGGCAGGCAAGGCAGGCAAGGCAGGCAAGGCTGGCGATTTGCAGTCAGTCGCGTCCTGGTAGGGGGAGGCGTGTTTGGTCGTGTTAAGTGGCCGCCCCACGTCATGAACAGTGCGTGTGGCGAATTCGAACGCTACACGGAGAGCATGCACTGTGTTTGGTGCCTACACACGCCCGAGGCCAGTGCCCCGGCAGGGCCTCACGGGTATTACAATACAGTGTGCCATCATTCCGTGCCCGGGTTCCCGCCCTCGAGGAACCTGAAGAATGTCAACCGATTGCCGTCTGGATCAAGAATGCTGAACTGCCGGTAGCCCCAGGGTTTGTTCTCAATGTCCTCCACCACCTTGACCGCCGGCCTCCCCTGGAGATAGGTGTAGAAGCTGTCGATTTCGGCCGTACCCACGGCGATCATGACAGCCCCGGGCTTGCAGTCTTCCGGCGAGGCGTGGAAGAAGTATATATTGGCGGCGGCCTTGGGACCGGCGTAGACGGAGCAGAAGTAGGCCTCGCCACCGTCTGATTCGGTGCTGGCGAGGGTGAAGCCGAGCTCATCCGTGTAGAAAGCGGCCGTGGCCTCGATGGACGTCGACTGGAGAGAGGGGATGATTTTCCATGCTGAGGCGAGTGCGGCGGCCATTGTGCTGATTTGGTGCTGATTTGGTGGCTGTTCGTGTGAAGACGATTCACTCTCCGTCATGGCTTGCATGCGGTGGAAGCATATGATACGAGCCTTCGTCCTCACGTGCCTCTACTCCCACCAACCTATGGCCAGACCCTGAGGCAACGGACAGAATGACCAACGTACCGAGCAAGCCTAAGTACCTCACTCAGGTATGGCTTCACGCCAGCACGCAGAGTGGACCAGCGTCTGGACTTTGGCGGGGTACGAGCGCTGAAGGTTGAATGGCAGGCGTGCTCAACCCCGCCTTCTGGCCGCCCGAGTCGAGAGCACCTCTGCCTCTGCCTCTGCCTGCCTTTCTGCGTGCCTACCCGCCTACCTGCCTCCCTGCCTCCCTGCCTCCCTGCCTACCTACCTACCTAGGTAGATCTGCATCTGTATGCCAACCCCGCCAACTTCGTCAGCCTTGTGTCCAGTTCAGAATTTCTCCCACCCACGACGACCTGAGCTCTCAGTTCTCAGCTTTCCAGCAAACCCAGCGCGCACTTCACGCCTCCGAGCTCCGACAAGCAATCATATCCACCACCGCAGTACGACCGCCCGGCCATCGCTTTCTGACACGAATCCCGCCCCTTCACACACACACACACACACACCCCCCGCCGCCCCCTCCAAGGTTTTGGTCCCATGCGACAGGCACCCTGCTGAGGCCAGCTGAAGTTGCGTGCCCGAAACCTACCTGAGCCTTCCCGAAAAAAAAAACATCACCAACCGCCAAGCAATCGTTCGATCACGCGAGAGCCTGGCCTTTCCGCAACGCAGCGCCCTCGTATCGCCCGCCTGCCTCGCCCGCCTGCCTTCTCGAGCCGCTGCACCTCCCGAGCCACGCGCTGGCACCACGAGAATTCGCCCGTTGGACCCTCGCTCCCTCCCCCCACCCTTTCCTCTCCCTCGAGGCCATACGCCCGGCCGAAAACGTTACACAACTTGCCATCGCCATGGCGCCGTCCACGGCCCAGCTCAAGACCCTGTCGGCCCAGTTTGTCTCTCTGACAGGCGCCTCCGAGAGGACCGCGCAACGGGTACGTCACGGCCCCGATCTACATATCTTCTCTCGCGACCTGCCCCGCGTTTTCCGCCCCGTCGTAGGCATGGGGGGGTTTTCTCGTGGGCGAGATGGCCTGCTCCTTTTGCCCCCCCCCTCTTCTCTCTCTCTTTTCTGGCCCGCAACTTCGATGCGATGCATGTCTCTTGTCCACCGGCGTCCTTGTCCCTTTTGTGCGTCTTGCCTTTGGGGCATCAGGCGGCAGAAGCCTCGTTGTGGCGCCCGGGGGGAAACGCTGTGCTGCATCGCATGGTTCTGTTCAGGTGGCTAACCATGATGGCCTGCAGTACCTCAAGAATGCAAACTACAAGATGAACGATGCCATAGATGCGTAAGTTGGCCTTTATCTTTCTGTCGGCCTCCCTATCGATCGGCTCCTTCCGTCGGCTCCCCTTTCGCCCTTGGCTCCGGGTCCTTTCGGGCGAGCAACAGTCCCCTCTCCTTGCTTCTTCTTCTTCTCTCTCTGTGTCTGCTTCTTTTCCCCCTCTCCACATATCCGCGCTTTTCCTATTCTTCCGGGTCAATGTGCGATCCAGTGCGACCCAATGCCATCCAAACCCGGCTCGGCATCTGGCCTCTGCATTTCGCTTTCGGCGCAGCGCCCCCAGCCTCGAGCTCCTCGCTTCTGCCCCCCCCGACCGGCCTCCAGGGTGCGCCGGCCCTTCTCGGACAATTTGCTGCAGCGTATATGACCTCCCGGCGCGCTTTGTGGAGTCGCCCGCTCAATCTGTCGACTGCAACTCTCGGGTCGCCCTCCTCCTTGGGCATCTCCGTCGTCAGCGCAGCAGAGAAAGGCCGAACCGCCGCCGATGTCGAGTCCTCGCTCTGAAACAACCCGTTTGCCCTGCCACCTGATGCCGCCGAACCTGGGGGACATTCATCCGACGCACCGCCTCGGGGCCGCCTCCAGGGACCCCCCCAGGACCGCCCCCAAGAATACCCCCAGGCCGCAGGAGCTCCCAGGACCGCAGTACCCCCAGAGCCAACCGCAAGACCAAGACCGCCTACAAAGGACGTCGATCGGCCCTCGCAAGTGCCGGCCATTTCTCCAATGGGAGATGCCACCACTACCCCAAGCCTACCCCATTCAGCCTGACCATCACACCCTTTCTGCTTTGCCCCCCCCCCGGATCGTCTCCCGACCTGTGCCCACACCGTCGACCTTGGCCGTTGCATCGTGTTCTCGTCCTGCCGCTATCCGCTTGTCCATTGTCCGCTTGTCCCGCTGCTGCTCATCGACACCCCACCATCTCCTCTTGATTCTTCCCACCTCTGCTGCTGCTGCTGCCCTTCTGCTTGCCCTTCTGCTTGCCACGCAGAGGACTCTCCATGTCCCGGATCTGATCGCCATCGTCGCTCGTGCACCTGTGCCAGCAAGGAGGATGGGCTGGAAGGGCATGAAGACTGCTCTGCCCTCTAGGGGCTTGAGTCTGTGGTCCTCAAAAAAGAAGACAGACGTGAAACAGCAACCTGGCGACGGGACTAAGGACAAGGACAAGATCCGATCTGTGTACTACCCTTGGCCCTCCCCCCTCCCCCTCCCCTCCTTCTCCTTTTCCCGCCCCTCACTGGATGGAAGACCGCCCAGCCTGGCCGGCGCCACACGCGCGAGTGCTCGAATGGCGTCCTGCGGAATTGCTTCATCGGGCCATGGACTGACCCGTTTCTCAGATTCTTTGGTGGAAGCAATGGAGGCAGTGGCGCGGGGACGCCCTCACCCCTCGAAGGCGACCTAAACAAGCTTTTCGACTCGCTGCGAGGTACGGCGGCCATGATGCGCGTCTGAGCAAGAGCAGCCACTAACTGCTGCGCCTTAGGGTCGTCCGACAACAAGGATCACATGGGCATCGACTCGACGACGAGCTACCTCACCGAGACGCTGGGCGTCAACCCTGAGAATGCCGAGCTGCTCGTCGTCATGGAGATTGTCCAGGCCCCGGCGGTGGGCGAGATAACGCGTAAAGGCTTTGTCGACGGCTGGAAATCCACGGGGTAAGGCGGAGCCTCAGCCAGTCGCCGATCGATCGTTGTCCGCTGACAGTCCCCACCAGAGTGCAAGCGACGAACAAGGACCATGCCAAGCACATCAAGTCGCTCGTCAAGAAGCTATCCACAGACCAGGCCCTCTTCAAGAAGGTCTACCGCCACACGTTCATCGCCGCCAAGGAACAGGACCAAAAAGCCATCAGCCTCGAGTACGCCCAGATCTACTGGGAGACGCTCTTTGCGCCGCCGGGCTGGCAGTGGGCATCACAGAACCACAACTGGCTCGAGCTGTGGAACTCGTTCCTCGCCGCCAAGTGGACGCGCTCCGTCAACAAGGACATGTGGAACATGACGCTCGAGTTTGCCTACAAGTCCCTGGAGGATGAGACGCTGTCCTTCTGGAGCGAGGACGGCGCGTGGCCGAGCGTCCTTGACGAGTTTGTCGCGTGGTGCCGCGAAGAGAAGGGAATCAGGCCGGAGACGATGGACACGGATGCGTAGGGTGGGTCGCGCAGGCCGGTCGAGAATTCGGTATGCATGTCTGCCAGTGGCCGCGCACGTACGCCAGCTGGCGAGCGGCGGAGGAAGGCTAGAAGCGAGGAGGAACGGTGAGGCGTAACGCCCGTCGGGGCTGTTCACGATGAAGGGATGCGTTGAAGATGATTACCGGCGGAGCATGTAGTATGCAGCGTTTCAGGGCTCGCTCCAGCGAATGTCTTCAGCACAGGCAGAGAGCACACAGAGCATCAGTACATAGCAAGACACACACGATCAAAGCGCGGGACGCACTGCGAAATTGGCTCATGAATGTGTCCCTCTGTTGTACACCTGCCGGCCAGGGTGGCCTCGTATCCTACAGCCCTCCTCATCCTGGGTATTTTGATCTCGGGACTGGGTGATTGCGTCGCCTCCATATCGTGTCGAGTGCCCTGTTTCCTCGTCCGCCTCATGCCGCTTCTGCCTCCCGCCGCCTCCCCCTACTCGTCGCGGACGTCCCACTTGATGGCGCCAAACCGGGCCATGCTGCTGAGCTTGCCGTCGCCGACCTTGACGTGGGCGCTGCGGATGACGCGCGGGTCGAGGCTGATGGTCGAGCGCATGGTCTGGTGGGCGCGGGCCGAGGCGTCGTAGCGCATGACAAAGTAGTGGCCCTCCTTGTGCTTCATCTGGGCGCGCGTGATGGGCCGCGGCAGCGCGAAGACGCCCCAGTTGGCGAGGCCGCGGACGACGCCGCCGCTGCGGAGGATCGTCTGGCCGGCTGTCAGGGCGATCCTGGCGCTTGTTAGCATGTCTGCTCTGATGGTACACCTGCTCCTGCTGCACGCCCTGCTCCTCGCCGTACGTTCTTCTGATGGCATGTGAAAGGAGGCAGTAGCAGAAGCAGTAGCAGCAGCAGCAGCAGCAGCAGCAGCATAAGCTCGAGGGCAATGGGAGGAACTGCGTCGGGTCATCGCGTCATGGGATCAGGGGCGTACTCTTTCACTTCGGCGAGATGGCCGGGCCGGACCTGGCGACTATTAGCTTTTTCGATATCTGACTGGCTATATGCCAATGACGGTCCAGCAGCGCACGTACAATTCCTATGAGTTCGTAGAGCATGGTGGCGGCGACATTGATGCTTGGTGATGGTCGAGGGTCCAGAGGTGAGGTTCCAGCGGCGACGCCTAAATTTTGGTAGAGTCGGCGTTTCGGGTGGGGCCACGGTGCGATGACGATTCTAGACGGACAACGGCACAGTGCACGAGGCCCCTGGCCTTTTCTGGGAGAGCTTCGAACAGCAGCATCACCAACTGAATCACGATCAGCGTGATTGTCGTAGAATTACATGGTTCGGCCTCATTGCGGCTGTGTGCTAGTTTTACATCCATGTACACGCAGGTGCTGCATTCTGCCGATGCCAGCATTTTCGCCTGCCAACGTCGACTTTCCCTGCCGGTATCCCTACCAACATGGACATCTCCGCACCATAGGCCAAGCAGTGCAGTGATGCTGACGCCCGTGATGCTCCTCTCTGCATCGCCTGCTGCGTGCTGCGTGCTGCGTGCTGCGTTCGTGACGCTACTATTCGCATCGCCTGCTACGCCGCTGGTCATCAGTCACGTGTCCCTCGTCTCGCGCCTCGATGCCTCCTCGGCTGCTCATCAGCTGATCCTCCCTATATCTGCTGCTTCATCCCCGCCCGCCAGATGCTCCACGGCAGCTTCCAGCTCGCGCGCACGGCAAACGGGTTGAAGTTCGCCTTCTCCAGGTTCGTCAGGTACGCCTGCGGCGGGACGGCCTCCATGAGCACGCTGAAGCTCTGCCGAATGTCGCGCACGGCGTCGCTCTCGCCGGCCGCGTAGACGTGCCCCTCCTCGCCCTCGTGCTCGAACGCGTGCCCGGCCTCCTTGCCGAGCCGGAGGTTCTTGAGCATCTCCCGCGCCGTGATGAGGTGGTCGTTGGCCCGCGTCGCCACGGCGAAGACGGCGTCCTGGAACCCCGCCGCCTCGGGCCCCCGCCGGAACACGTCCTCCTCGCGCACGCCGGCCTCGGCGAGCACGTCCAGCGGCAGCAGCAGACCGGGGTCGCGCCCGCGCCCAAACCTGCGCCGCGCTGCCGTCGGGTGGCGGTCTACGACCGGATGCGGCGCCGCGAGCAACGGGAACGCCGCGCAGCACGGCCACGATGCCGGCCGCCTTGCCAATGTGGCTCGCGAGGTGGTCGGCGTGCACCGACTGCACCGGCAGCGCCGCGAGCGTCGCGTACATGAGCGTCGCGTACGTGTTCTCGGCGTACTCTTCGAGGCTCGCGAGCGTCGCAAAGGGTCGGTTGTCCATGTGCCGCTCGCGCGTGCGGATGACGCGCTGGATCCAGAACTTCATCTGCGTCGCCGCCGCGCGGGCGCTGCCGCTGCCGTTGCTGCGGGACTGCAGCGATGTGATGGCTTCGTGGAGGAGCACGCATGTCGGCTCGGCCGGTGGGTTGCCGGCAAAGGTCTTGTCGATGGACTCGCGCCAGAACTGCATGCGCATGGCGCCGATGGTCGGGTTGGTGACCACCTCGGGCAGCCGGACGAGCTCGAGGTTCAAGGTGCGAAGAGCGAGGTACGCATCGCGGACGTGCGGTGGGAGGGTTCGTTGTATCAGGTGGGCGTCATAATCGCTGTGTCTGAGAGCGTGTTCGTCAGCCTTGGATGAAGTATAGGCGAGGCAGACCTGTCATCCTACTGGAGCTGCCGCTGGCAGTACTTTCGTGCCTTGTCGACGTCGGCGGCTGTGACGATGCCGCGGGTCCCTGATCGAACCTGAATAGGCCGGAGCCTCCTCAGGCCATGGCTGAGAAGTTGTGGGCGATTCATCAGGAGACGGGTCTCGTTGCGTGATCCATCGCTCGAGGAATAGACGAAAGAGTTAGACCCTGGGGCAGCCGCGTCTCGACTCGAAAAATCGGGAATGACGTCGCAGGGACGCTGCTTACCTAATCATCATGATGCTGACCATTGTCGAGCTGCCACAGGCGGGAACTGCACTGCAAAATGCCAGTCGAGAGCGAGAAAGAGCTAAAGTGGAATTTGGTCCAGGAGCATCGTCACGTGCTCACCCGACGCGATCATCAGTCGCGCTTTGGGGTCATTCGCGTCTCCCATTCCCCCCCCCCACGAACTTGCGTGCCCCAGCTGACCACACCCGACATCCAGCGCAGCATGGATCACGAGCCCCCAACGAAGCGGCGGCGCTTCTTTGCGGATCCCGAAGACGATACAGGCAGTCACCTCTCAAGCCCGGTGCTGCCCACGCCTCCCACCCATCAGAAGACTCGATTCTTTCAGAGCCCGCCCAACGCTGGGTCATCGCAGATCAAGAGCGAAGAGGCTCCGGCATTCCCTTCCTCGCCGATACCCGCTCGTGGGCCCCTCGTGGAGCAGTCCATCCAAGATGCATCAAATCGGTCTGCCCCTCTCGAGTCCAATCGGGAGGAGCCTGCCGTCTCTTTTGACCAGGACATGTTCGAGAGCTTCGTCGGCGCCAAGGTGGCGAAGGAGACGATGAGCATCATTCGTGAGAACTGCGGCGATAACCTCGAAAGAGCCGTCAACATGTACTTTGACGGCACCTGGAAGGATTTCAAGAAAAAGAACCCCTCCATCAACGCTTTTGTTCGACCACCACCCGCCGTCATGTCGTCAACGCCCGGGCCAACGCCCAAAGACTCGCCAAAGCCCGTCATCCGCCGCTCCATGCCCGAATCACGCTATGTGGGCGCCTTCGGCGTCGAGGGCTGGGCCACGAGGAGCGGTACAAACCTGCTGAAGCACGGCGACGTGGTCAAGATTGAGCGGAAGAAGATGCAGCTGCCGAAAGCCCCTCGCTCCGCCAAAGGCGCCGCCGCCGTGCACAAGCTCAGCGCCGCGGCCGTCGCCAAGCGAGATGACACCATTGTGCGGTCACCACGAGCAGCGGCACCGAGATTGAAAGGTTCGCCAAGAACACGGAAAGCTGGTGGCCCCCCCTGATCGACCAGCGCGCGTGAAAGTTTGAGGGCCCCGCCGTCTACCCCCGGAACACGCTGCGAACCAACGATACCATCTTCACCCAGCTGCGGTGCTCGCTTCTCGCCACTGCCTTCACAGCAGGGCGTTTCAGCTGGAGGACAACAACAGGTCGCGGCCTTCTTCAACAGGGGGAGTCGATGGAGGAAAGGACTTCGCATGCGCAGTTGCTTGGTGCGCTCTTCCAAGAGTGACCTCGATCCTATACAGTCCAATGCCGCATCTTCGAAGCAGAAACGACAGGAACTATTGCAGGCTGCGGAAATGGAGGAAAAGAAAGAGAAGGAGACGGCAAAGGCCACGGCTGCGGCAACCGCAAAGGACCAGGGCTCGTCGCCACAGTCCGACGAAGAGGAGGGCGAAGAGCTTGAGCAGGACCAGCTCGACACCCTGTACAAGAAGGCCCAATCCTTTGATTTCAACACACCAGAAGCGGAGCCTGCGGACACGTTTGCCATGAGCCTTCGCCCCTACCAGAAACAAGCGCTGCACTGGATGATATCCAAGGAAAAGGACCTCAAGAGCAACCGCGAGCCAAGCATGCACCCTCTGTGGGAAGAATATGCGTGGCCAACCAAAGACTTTGACGACAAGGATCTGCCCCAGGTCGAGGGACAGCCCAACTTTTACGTCAACCCTTACTCGGGCGATCTTTCGCTTGACTTTCCCACACAGGAGCAGCATTGCCTGGGCGGCATCCTCGCCGATGAGATGGGTCTCGGCAAGACGATTCAGATGCTGTCGTTGGTCCATACGCACCGCTCCGAGATTTCTCTCAAGGCCAAGGCTCCTAAGACAAACCTCGAGTCGATGATTGATCTGCCGCGTCTGACGTCGAGCGCAAACAACGTGCTGCAGGCTCCGTGCACTACGCTGGTCGTGGCTCCCATGTCGCTGCTGGCACAGTGGCAGAGCGAGGCCGAGAAGGCGTCCAAGGAGGGATCTCTGAAGACTCTCATGTACTACGGGGCCGACAAGGCAAACAGCAACCTGCAGGCTCTGTGTTGCGAAGACGGCGCTGCCTCAGCGCCCGATGTCGTCATCACCAGCTACGGTGTCATCTTGTCAGAATTCACCCAGCTTGCGAACAAGAAAGGCGACAGGGCGTATCACAATGGCATTTTCTCTCTCAACTTCTTCCGCGTGATTCTGGACGAGGGTCACAACATCAAGAACCGCCAGTCCAAGACGGCCAAGGCCTGCTATGAAATTGCGGCCGAGCATCGATGGGTGTTGACCGGCACGCCCATCGTCAACAGGCTGGAGGACCTGTTCAGTCTCGTGCGTTTCCTACGCGTGGAGCCATGGAACAACTTCTCCTTCTGGCGCACCTTTATCACGGTTCCCTTCGAGTCGAAGAACTTCATGCGGGCGCTCGACGTTGTTCAGACTGTTTTAGAGCCACTGGTGTTGCGACGGACAAAGGACATGAAGACGCCGAACGGCGATCCGTACGTGCTCAAATGACCAAACTCGGCCGACTTTGCTAACCATGTCAGGCTTGTGCCCCTACCGCCGAAGAAGGTCGAAATCGTCGGTGTCAAGCTCGGCGAGGCGGAGCGCGGCATTTACGACTACATTTTCCTGCGCGCCAAGCAGGCCTTTTCAAAGAACATGGAGGCAGGCACCGTCATGAAGTCGTTCACCAGCATCTTTGCCCAGATCCTGCGGCTGAGGCAGAGCTGCTGCCACCCGATTCTTGTCCGCAACAAGGATGTCGTCGCAGACGAGGAAGAGGCTGGCGCGGCGGCGGATCTGGCGGCGGGCCTTGCTGATGACATGGATCTCAATGTCCTCATCGAGCACTTCTCTGCCGACACGTCAGAAACGGAGACGAATCCCAATGCCTTCGGTGCACACGTCCTCGGCCAGATTCGCGATGAAGAAGCGAGCGAGTGCCCGATCTGTTCGGAGGAGCCCATGATTGAGCAGACGGTGACCGGGGGCTGTTGGCACTCGGCCTGCAAGAAGTGTCTGTTGGACTATATGAAGCACCAGACAGACCGCCACAAGGTCCCGACGTGCCCGAATTGCCGAGCCGAGATCAACTACCGCGACCTCTTCGAAGTGGTGCGTGACGACAGCGACCTCGACATGTTCCAGAAGCCCCGGATCAGCCTGCAGCGCGTGGGCAAGAACAGCTCGTCCGCCAAGGTGGTCGCGTTGATCAGCGCCCTCCGTGAACTGAGGCGCGAGCATCCGCGCATGAAATCGGTCGTGTTCAGCCAGTTCACCTCGTTTCTGACTCTGATCGAACCGGCGCTGGCTAAGTCGAACATTAAATTCCTACGGCTCGACGGCACCATGGCGCAAAAGGCCCGCGCGGCCGTGTTGAACGAATTTCAGGAAGCCAACCAGTTTACCATTTTGCTTCTGAGTCTTCGCGCTGGCGGTGTCGGGCTCAACCTGACGACCGCCAAGCGCGTGTACATGATGGATCCGTGGTGGAGTTTTGCCATTGAGGCGCAGGCCATTGACCGCGTGCATCGCATGGGTCAAGAGGACGAAGTCAAGGTGTATCGCTTTATTGTCGAGCAAAGTGTCGAGGAGAGGATGCTCAAGGTGCAGGAGCGGAAGAAGTTTTTGTACGTCGTCCGCCTTTTTGCTTGCGTTGATTGTAGCTGACTACCTCACCAGGGCAACGTCTCTCGGCATGATGAGCGACGAAGAGAAGAAGCACCAGCGGATCGAGGACATCAAGGCCCTCCTCGACTACGAAGTCACGTCGCATTAATCACACTCACGAGCAGATGACGGTTCGGTTTCCAAACCTCGGTGCGAGGTCTGTTGCATTTTTTTTTTATTTTGGTCCAGGGAAGAAAAGCGTGCCCTAGAGATCATAGGGCCAACGCGCACGGCATGTACAGCATCAAGAGAGGCGTTACGGTACTTTGGGAGGGCCCGCGGCACGCGGCAACATATTGGTAGATAGCAGGCCACGAGCCAACATGTGCATTTGGGCGCCCGAGTCACTCTGGCCGGTCTGGAGTCCTCCTCCAGCGCATGCGTGACCATCACCTGACCCCTGGCACATGTTGAGTGTCTCGCCCATGAGCGATTGCAGTGAACACCCGTCTGTGAATAACAGCAACGCACGACCGCGTTCAACAAGTTGGCAACAACCCGTTCTTTCCTTCTCTACCTACCTATCCTAAGACGTCGCCAGATTTTTTAATTCTTATTTCTATTTCAGCTCGTCGCCGAAATGCGCCCCTCGCAACAGGGCACCTGACAAAGAAGAAACACCACCCTGGACCGCCGGTATCGAGAAAAGCTCCATCGGCGCGCACGACCAAGACATGGACACGATCCTCCCACTGCTCAAGACGATAGCCCGCAGCCGCCCAAAGTCGACCAAGACGCCCGAGCGGCGTCCGTCCCGCGACAAGTCTCGCGGTGACAAGCAGCAGCAGCAGCAGCAGCAGCACAACGGCGAGCTCGAGGTCCTCCTCTTCCTGCTCGCGCACAAGGGCATGGAGTACGCGGCCAAGCGGTACCTGGCCTCGGAGCACGGGACCAAGAGGCGCGAGGAGGGTCAGCCGGCTGTTGACGGCGACGCGCTCGAACGGCTGGGGCGGGTTATCCTGGCCAAGATCATGGGCGCGAAGGACGAGGGGCGGACGGCGGGAGGGGGGGCGCGGCGCAGACATCGCGATGACGGGAACGACAGGGACGGGAACGGCAAGGAAAGGAACCACAAGGACGGGAACGACAAACATGGGAACGGCAAGCATGGGAACGACATGAACGGGAACGGCAAGCACAGGCATGACAAGCACAGGCACGACACGGGGCAGCGACGGCACCGGGATGCATCGTCCGAGTCGCGGTCTCGTCACCGACGGCAGTACGGCGGACACCGGGGCCGAGACGACGACGGTGGCAAGCACGAGATGCATCGACGGGGGCAGCACGAGGGCGACGCGCATCGACGGCAGAGGCGACACGGGCCGGCGCTCGAGATGGAGGAGCTGCGCGTGAGGCTGGAGGACATGTCGGAGGCGCTCATCGGGATGAATGAGAGGCCTGCCGGGCAGCCGGGCCATGAGGAGTGCGCGTACTACGACCTCTTCGTCGCGGCGTCGACGCCGCTGCAGGATGCTATTGGGGGTGTTCTGGGCCAGATGAGGGAGGTCGAGGGGAGGAAGGGCCGCGGCCGGCGGAGGCACGGCGGCGAGCACAAGGAGAGGCGGAAGAAGGAGGTGCCGGAGCCTGAGGTCAGTCGAGGGCGAACGAGGAGGAGACAGAAGCATGGGCGATAGACTGGGAGAGCTCGGTGACCTCGCATCTAGAAATATACTGACTATACGATTCTGTGGTTTAAAAGGTCGAATGAGGGAAATGTCTAGTCCCCGAGAAGAAGAAGGGAAACTGGTGCCTGCAAAGCCTGGCTAGGAGGTCTTTTCCCAAGGTCATATGCTTCTTCTTCCGGAAAGTCGGCCCAGCCTTTTATTTTATTTACTTCTTACTATTGTAAGCCCTTGATCGCTGCAGCACACTCACAATTAACTTGGCTTTGGGGCAAGCCATTCTGACTCTTCATACAACACCATCATGCTAGCACCATACACAGGGTTTGCGTCTGCGGCACCACCCAGCGAATGACAACTACGCATGGGATAGTCAGTCTCCTGTTTTTGCGAGTTCTGCAAAGAGGGCACTTGACGCACAAAATATACAGCAAGCCGTCTCTACTCCTCCTACTAGGTCATGTCAAACACGGCCCGGTTCTTGACGTTGAGTGTCCAGATCACAATCGGAGAAGCAGCCGTCAATGGAAATATCCTATCTGAAACCACAAGCGCCGACTCCCAGAAGGCTTTTTTTTATCAGACCTGGCTTTCCACTTGGAAAACCGGCGAGTCGGCGAAAGGCACACCTCTTTGCTAACATCGCTGCTTGTTGACGGGTAAAAAGCGAGCAGCAGCTGGCCGGGCCGATGGAAAAAACTGAGGTGCAAAGCCTTGACGACAAGGAACCACAGCAAAAGTGTCAAGGAGTCTTATGCAACGAGTGAAGGGATCAACTGTTGGTCTCTTGGGGGTCTCTAGGAAGATAGAATAATCGATGCCCTTCTCCAAATCCTGGTCCGTTGACCTTTCTTATAACTATTCCCTCACTGCGCTTGGTCCTCTCTTCTTGATTCCTACGATCAAACAACAGGCGATCCCCTGTCGGTCTCATACCTCCCTCAGGTCCTGACAAAAAGCATCGTCGAAATGACCATTATGAAGGGCTGTCATACTGGGCTTTTCTTGAATGGATACGACGTTGGATTCCCTAGCCGAGCGAGATGCCAAAGTGAGATGCCAAAGTGGAAAGTGCATGCTACACGGGCCGGAGAATGACTAAGCAAAGACCTAAAACATACAAGGCAGGAGCATCCGACAACCGGCAATTCTGATTGGTTCGGAGGGTAAATAGTCGCCATGGCCCGAAGCCTCGGAACACAGGCAACACAGGCACTTCATCTCCTCAACACGACCCATCTTGATCCCCTCTTCGGACCACCATGATACGCTTCCCACACACTCATCGTTCGAACCTCCGAGATCTGCAAAAGGGAATCCCCTCTCTCTTCACTGCGGAGCCCAATCCCTACCCCCGAGAGTGAGACCCCGGTCTACACGCGATGAACCCTCCTCGGAAGGCGGGCCCCGTCTCCCCTAGTCGCGAACCTCGACCCAAACGCCTGAAGATTGACGTGGCCTGCGAGACCTGTCGTGCCAAGAAAGTCAAGTGTGATGGCGTGCGGCCCTGTGAGTGGTCTTGATACTCTTTATCTCATCACGAGGCACCTACACCGGGTACACCTTCTTTTCGTCGAGCAGAAACATGATTGACTGACTCTGACTGTTGGTAGCTTGCGGCTATTGCTCCAGGAAGCTCAGCCTTCGTGACAACTGCCGATACAGCAACGATGCGAACTCTGAGGCGGACCCGAAAAAGGGTACCCCCAGACGCGACAGCCACCTCCTGCAGCCGCCGTCAAGCGGTCCGCACCGTCCAGCCAAAGCCCCGAATGGCAGGGCCTCGGGGACACTTTACCTCCCCCCCATCCACCGTTGTTAACGCCCAGGCACCACCCCCGATGAGCCACCCTCGCAGGACACCCACTCGCGACAGGATCGACCACCCCCGGGAGTCGAGCCGGAGCGGACCCCAGGGAGGCTAGACCCCGTCCGCGTCCCGGCCCCGCCGCCATCACCACTAGCCCCTCTGTCATTGACTCGATGACGGCCGTCGTTGACGAGGGCACCAGCACCCGCGAATTCTTCGGCAGCAGTAGCGCCGGCTCCTTCACCGCACAGATCAAAAGGGCGATCGACGCCCGCCTGGGCAAGGCCAACGCGGGGCCCTCTCGTCAAGCCGCGCCGTCTCGCTCTTCCCTCTCCATGATGTCGACCCACTCGGCCGAACACCCCGCCTCGGACGTGTCCTATGTGTTGCCGCCTCGCCGGCAGGCCGACCACCTCATGGATCTCTACTGGTTCTACGTCGACCCCCTCTACCCGTTCCTCAACAGACAGCGCTGGAACCAGACGTACAATGCCATCTTTTGCCGGTGGCGCCATTGACGCCGATGAGCGCATATTCATGGCCTCGCTCAACGTCATCTTTGCCCTCTCCACACAGCTCCTCGAGGCCTCGACGCCGGAACAGAGGGAAGAGCAGAGCTCCGTTTACTTCCAGCGAGCCCAGGCCCTCCTGCCGATGAACCCCTGGGATGCGGGGTCCATCGACCTTGTCCAGTGTTTACTCCTCACGAGCCAGTACCTGCAGAGCACTGATCACCCGCACCAGACCTGGATGGTCGTCGGATCGGCCATCCGGACGGCACAGGGTCTCGGCCTGCATCTGCCCGAGACGTCTGGCGATCGGACGGAGCTGGAGGAGCGAGAGCTCCTGCGGCGCATTTGGTATGGCTGCGTGCTGATGGACCGGTAAGTTGCTGTATTGGGGGCCTTTTTTCCCGCGCCCTGTTACTGACATCTCGAAAGCATGGTCTCTGTGACCCACGGCCGGCCTGCCATGATCTCTGGTCATCTAGCCACAACTGTGCCTCTGCCCATGTCCTCTGCATCGTCTGCCAATGGAACAGAGGCTGCTTTGAGTGGTGGGGCAGTACATGCCGCCTTCTTCGTGAAGTCGGTCCAGCTCTACGAGATTATTCATCGCACCATCATTGCCTTCTACGGAGGGACTGTCGGATGCTCCAAAAGCAAAGAGTCCCAGGGCTCAGACTCTGGGAGCTCCGATGGTGACGACGACGACTTCGACAGGGTCGTTCAGCTGGACAGGTCACTGAGCAAGTGGGAGCAGTGTCTGCCAGTGCACCTGAGATGGACTTCGCTGGAGCACACGGCCGACGAGGTCTCGCGGCGGCAAACTGTCATTCTGCGCATGCGGTATGTCTGCACCTGCACCTGCACCTGCACCTGCTTTGACTTGACAGAATGACTTGACAGAATGACTTGACAGAATGACTTGACAGAATGTTCTGACAATCTCTAGCTTCTTGCATGCTCGAATCCTCCTCCTTCGACCTGTCTTGTCACGCTTCTGTCTCGCCCCGCCGACGCCTGCCATCACATTCGGCCTCACCGATAGCCTGCAAGCACGCGTCGTCGAACAAGGCGCTCTCTTTTGCGTGTCGACTGCCCAGAACATGATTGCCGTGCTGCTGGAGCATCAGACCTCGGACAACACCATCGGCTTGCTGCCCGCCTGGTGGTACCGGGTCTACTACGTGTACTCGGCTGCGACGGTGCTGATTGCCGCCAAGCTACGACCTGAGATCTTCCCCGCCGTCGAAATCGGGCGCTCCTGGAGTCAGGCCATGGCGGTGCTCAAGTCGCACGAGCGTTTCGGTCAGTCAGCGCGAAGATGTGTTGCTGCTCTACACATTCTGTCATCCAAAATGCTCGAGGCAGCACCGGGTGCTGCAAACTCGAGCCTGGGCAGCCGGGGGCGGAGTCTGGCGGAAGGCGAGACGGGCGTGCATCCCGATTTCGACGCTTCTACCCAGCCCATCCCCCACATTCAGCAGCAACTGGTCGATGAGTTCGCACCGCCGTTAGCAGATCTCGGCGAGCTCGATCTAACCGAATTCAATTTCGACGTGAATGATCTTTCATGGCTCAACGACATGCACGCCACATGGGAGTTTCTCAACGAGTGATCCAAGGGAACAAAGGCAAAGGAAAAATCAATGAACGCTTCATGAATGCATTTTACTCAAATACCATCTTATTCTTGACGCTGCCGAGGCCGCTAATGGTCACCTCGACGACGTCGCCGTCATTCAGGTACTTGGGCTCCTTCATGCCCATGGCCACGCCCGATGGCGTGCCCGTCAGCACGACGGTGCCGGCCTCGAGCGTCGTGCCCTGGCTGAGAAACTCGACAATGGCCTCGACGCCGAACAGCAGGTCGTCGGTGCCCTCGTTCTGGCGCTCCTCGCCGTTGACGAGCGTGCGCAGGCGCAGGGACGAGGCGTCGCCGACGACGGACGGCGACACGAGCATGGGGCTCAGCGGCGCAAATTTTGTCAAAGCCCTTGCTGAAGCACCACTGTGGAACGCCGCCGGCCTTTTTGGGGTCGCGCTGCCAGGCGCGCGCCGACACGTCGTTGCAGGCAAGGTAGCCAGCAATGTGTGAGAGGGCGTCCTTCTTGGCGATGTTCTTGCCTGACTTGCCGATGACGAAGGCCTTTTGGGGTCAGACTTTTTGGCGAAGGAAAATAGTAATGGTATCAGTGGATTAGACTTACAAGCTCGCCCTCGTAGTCAACAGTACCATCCTGAGCGACCTTCGGAATGGGCACGTCCTCGTTGTGCCCTGCCACGCACGTGGCGGGCTTGATGAAGAGAGAGGGAAAGGGGGGTGGTGTGCGGCCGCCCTCCTTGACTAAATGCATGTGAGATGATGTTCGGTTGAGTTATGATGCAAGTCTTACTGTGCTTGATGTAGTTGAGGCCGATGCAGCGGATGATGGGCACGTCTGAGGGGCGCAGAATGTCGCGGACTTCCTTGACGTGCACCTTTTCGCCCCTCGTGAGGCCAGAAACCGGACTTCTGCCCTTGTACTCTACCGCCCAGAGGTCATTGGAGGCGGCGCGGGCCACAAAGTCCTTCTCGTCAGTGACTTGGGGTTCACCAAAAGTCTCTGTGCCGTTATCGTCGACGAAACGGATGAGACGGGACCAAGGCGCGTCAGACATGATGTGAGAATGGGCTGAGAATGACTTGATCAGGGTTCATGCGTCACTATGTCACCTCTTAGATCAATACAAGAGTGATTACCATGAACTTTCATGTACGACAAGGTGAACGTAGTTGAAGTAAAGATGGTGGTGTTTTCCATGTGTCGCTTCGTAAGCCAATCATAGGCTGTTCCGTTCGGAAGCACGGAGACACCGGACTCGGAACGAAGGGCAGGCCGAGAGTACCGGAAACCGCCCCCCCGAGCTGACTCCGCCGAGAGCCGTTACACTTCTTCAGGGGGAACTCCTGAATCGAGCGTCCCGGATGTCACAAGGGCATTGACTCGCTCCGGCAGTTGAGATGGGCGTATGGCTCGCTTTTGTCTTCATATAGCCTCACTTCATCCTTTTGCATCTTACATTTCCGTTGCCAAAGGCCCTTCGCCCCCAAAGCAGCAACAGTAGTATCATCGCCATGGGATCATACATCAGCGCAGAGGCGCCCGCTCAGGCGGCTGCCGATGGCGAGACGAAGGAGATGCAGGAATTCCTCAGCGTGCTGCCGTCGCATCATCTCGAGCCGCTGTGGTCGCAGATGAACGTCATGGTGCCGCCGAGCCCGAACCCCACGGCCAAAGCGCACATGTGGAAGTACGCCGAGGCGCTGCCGCAGCTACAAAAAGCCGGCGCGCTCGTGCCGGAGAGAAGGCCGAGAGAGGGTGCTGATGCTGGGTCAACCCGAGCATGCGTGCGTCAAGCAGAAAAAGCCCATCTGGAAGAAAAGGAAGCCGTACTGACGAGGGCGCAGAATCCCCCTACACGACAGACACCATCTACGGCGGCCTGCAGCTCGTCAACCCGGGCGAGACGGCGCCGGCGCACCGCCACCTCGCGTTCGCGTGCCGCTTCATCATTGACGGCGAGGGCTTCACGGCTGTCGAGGGCAAGAAGATGCCCCTCGTCCGCGGCGACGTGGTCACGACGCCCATCTGGCACTGGCACGACCATGGCAACGAGAGCAGGGAGCCTGTGATCTGGCTCGACATGCTGAACTTGCCGCTGTTTCGCTTCGCGCCTGTCCACTTTGCCGAGGGCTACGCCGACCCGCGGTACCCCAGCACGTGAGTTTTCCTTTTTGCGATTTCATTTTCTGAGGTTTCGTTCATGAAGCGAAGACAAGGGTCTACATTGAACGACATGAAAGAATGCTGACGGGCCAGACCCTGCGACCCCTGCGAATGGCGCCACCCCTGGGCGCCCGTGGAAGAGGCCCTCAACGCCGCCGCCGGCCCCCACGCCGTGCACCACTACCGCAACGCCGACGGCAGGCCCCTGTCCACGACCCTCGGCGTGCAGGCCGAGCGCCTGGCGCCCGGTGCGGAGGTCGAGTCCCGCGACAGCTGCTCGTACATCTACCACTGCTACGAGGGCACGGGGCGCACGGAGGTCGAGACGCCGGCGGGCGAGAAGAGCGTGTTCCGGTGGACGGCGCGCGACACGTTTGCCGTCCCGGCGTGGTCATCGGTGAGGCACGTCAACGAGTCGCGGGACGAGAGGGCGTACCTCGTCGCGTGCCACGACGGTCCGTTTTTGGACATTTTGGGGCTGAGGAGGCCGAGCAGCTGATTTTCCCGCCCCCTTTCGTCGGGCAGAGAGAGGAGAAGGGTGGCATTCGAGAGTCCAACTGAGCATTAGCGTGCGTCTGAATACATGTGCATTTTTCTACTTTGCCTGCACCAACGACTGGTGCTGCTTCACCCGGGCCGCATCCGGAGCAGGGCTGTGTCCGCGGGTGTGCCCGTTGGTTCTCAAGGCGTGGCGAGAGTGTGTGTTACATGTAATCTGTCATGCAGGCGTGGACCTGTCGCTTGGTCGATCCCCAGGCAGCCTCGTTGGCCGGGTCCTGTGGGTGGCTTGAGATGGCAACCCCTCATTTGGACGAGCGTTTTCCTGTCCCGGCAGACTTATTCTAGGATTTCTACGTCCAGCGTTACTTTATGACGCCCCCAAGGCTATCGTGCGACGAACAAAGACCACCTACAGCCAACGCAACGGCAGCAACGCCAACATGGCCGAGATCGTTGGCCTCGTCGCCAGCAGCTTCGCCCTTGCCGAAGTCGTCGGCAAGATTGGAGGCGGCGTGCTCAAGCTGAAGCGCATGTGGGACGAGGTCAAGGATGTGCCTGAGTCGATCCAGGATCTGTTCAAGCGCCTCGATCTTATTCTGCCCATGGTCGCGCGTATCGCTCGAGATATCGAGACGGGTGCAACTGTGTTCGACGACATGGAAGCTGTCGAGTCGTGCATCCTGTCTTGCCAGCAGGTTATTTCGGACGAGGCGACCATGATGAACGATCTGATTGTACAAATTGATGCGACGAAACGGATGAAACGAGCGAGGGACATGGTTCGCGTGGCTCTGAAGCGGGATGTATTGGAACGACATGAGAAGAAACTCGAGGGTATGATTCAAATCTTAATGCTCGCACATTCCGAGTATTCCAGGTTCGTTGGCTGTCCCGACCTGCGCCGTTGGGTGCAAGTTGCTGATGTTCGTTCAGGGCCTGCACCAAGGCTATTCCGACGGTCATTGTCCAGCACCTGTCAGCTTCAGGATATGTAGCAAAACAAAGGCCCGGAGACATGAACGAAGTTGAAGAGAAGAGTGTGAGACTTGATCCATCGAGGAAACAGACAGACCTGAGCACCTATCGAGGCATGTCCTCTCCAATTTCAACGCTCGAGCTGCCGAGGGAAAGGCAGTCTTTCTTTGGGAGCTTTACAAGCGCAAGCCACACGTCTCAAATTGTGCATGGATCTTCTGAGTACAACATCACAGGTATACAACTTGATGAGCCCACTTGACCCTTTCCCTTGTCTGTTCAACTTAGGCTCACATGGAACAGAACGCGGGTTCCGCTTACAGCCCCCTTGGTGGTTAACACATCAAGCTTGGGAGCTGCGAGTACTCTCTGGGTGGCAGTGGCATTTCAGAGCTTACAATTTTGTGCCGGATGACTCGCCTGTAATTTCATCTGTCCTGAATGGTGACATGAACACTCTTCTTCAACTCTTCGAGGAAGGGAGAGCGTCCCCATTCGATGTATGCGTAAGGGGCTCGCTTATGCAGGTAAGCTTCTGTATGCGACCTGACATAGCCTGCAGAACTAAAATACAAAATATCAGGAGGCTTTGCGAACGGGACGACTCAGCATCGTTCAAATCCTTGTTCAACTCGGAGTCTGCATAAGCCATCATGAGCTCTACAGCGCTGTATATGGCTTGATCGTCATGGGGTACCCATCTCATTCTCCCTCCACCATAGATAAGGCGCGGCGCATGCAAATTTTCCAAGAATTTGTCGATTTCATCACTACGCAAGGTTTCTGGGAGCTTCAATTCAAAACACTGTCTTTCATGATGTTAGAATCCATCGCCATGAATAACGGCAAAGCCTTCTTGGAAGTTTTGTTACCCAAGGTCTCACCCAATCACTACAACAAGCCCTTCAGGCATCGCTTGCGGTCCTTGAGACACGTCCCTTGCGACATGAAAGAGGAAACCTTTGCCTTCCTTCTCTGGCCCGATGGTGTGTCGTGTCCCGCGGACATTAACGAATCTCGATCTCAGGGCTGCCCCTTCATACACCTCGCTTCCCGCATCTCACTTATGCAAGAATTTGAAAAAGACTTGTTAAAAGCGAGGAATTATCTTTTTGAAGGCTCCGAATGGAAAAATGGTTTTGACGCAGCGACGAGCATGAGATCATGGCGAACATGGACCAAATCAAAACTCAGAGCAACAGCTAAAAGTGCATGGAAAAGGCGAAGGAGCGAGATCATTAGACTGACTGCGGACTGGCACCTGCGGCATGGTGGCTCTATGCTATCGATCCATGAAGGCAGCACCTTGGCCCAGAAATTGTTCAGGTCCTTGCTCATGACAATTTTAGACGGGTGTAGGCAACTTATCATTCAAAATTCGAGTGGTACGGTCTACAGGCTTAGAGATGGGAGTTACCACCATTGGGCGTCGGTACCAACGGTGAGGTTGATGACTCTCACGCTTCAGTCTTGGCTGGAAGATCTTGACGAAAGCGGCATCAATCTGACGTCCTACGGCCGCGAGGAGCTGGAAATCATCAAGTCCACTACCAGCGATCGAGAATACCAATATGGTCCACTTTGTCTTCGACGCCTGGAACCCGACGATTGCATGCCTAGAGTCCCGAAAGCAACGTACGTCACAGACAGCTTCCGTTTTCCAAGGCTTGAAACCTTCACATACGGGCCGAGTCCCAGTGACTGGAGCTTCACCTGGGACTGGGGCACGGAGGAATTCGCAGGCGAATTTTGGGCGGTGATCGAAACCCCTGTAATCTCCATCCCCGGAGCTTGGGTCCAGGAACAGCGCTACGACTATCACGGTTTATTGGAGAACATCTTTGAACGATTCCTCCCCGAAAGGGAAGAGGATGCTTCACATGTCAGACACCCCCGATTATATCCTCATCTTCTCGCTCATCACTTTTCCGTTCCACCTTCTTCTGCGCAGCCTTGCTAACACCACAAAGGAAGTCACAGAATTGTAGACAGCAACTCCCATCCACCTCTTCCTCATCGTCAACCTCGCACTCGCTTCCAACGAATTCCCCCGACCACGACATCATCTCCGGCTCCTCAAGCACGCCGCCCATCATATCTGGATCATAACATCCCGCCGGGTCAAAGCACCCCTCCAAGCCAGGCGCCATCGCCACCTCGGGCGGTACCAGAACCTCCTCGCCCACCGGCACAGGCACAATCGGCACAAACACCGCCCTCTGCCTTTGCCCTCGCCCGCGCCGCGCATGCTGATGGCCATGCCTCTTTGCGCGCGCCCTTGGCATGTTCCCCGGCCGGCGGCACGGCGCGGGCGAGAGCGCAGGCGTCTGGCGAGAACAAGAAGTGTGCTTGGCGCCGTGGTGCTTGTGGCCCCGAGGATGATGTTTGTGGTGGTGATGGTGGTGGCGGTGGTGGTGGTGACCTTTCCGAGCACGTCGGTGGCCTTTTCCTGCCTTGGCCCTGGTGGGCGTCTTGGGCGAGAAGACGCATTCGTATCTTGCTTATTCTAGGTTCTAGTTTTGA